TATTATTGAACTATTTATTAAAAGTAAATGTTGTGCTACTCTGTCATGATAATGCAAATAATTCGAAAAATGTTTATTAGTTTATGGATTTTTAAAAAAAACATGACAAATTATTAAAACTAAAGAGTAGAGCGGGCGAGCTTAATGGTCTATGAGTAAAAAAGTTCACTACCCATGTCTTTAAAACAAATAAAGTTAAAACTTTTGAACAACTATATTTGGAAGTAATGTAAAACAAATGTATAAGCAACCATCACATGGATTCTTACAACGTTGCTATCGAGAGATAAACGAAAATGTTTGGAAATCCATAAAAAACTTTTTTTTTGTTGTTAGTTTTTCTGTTATGAGCACTATTGTTAACTTTGAGTAAGATTCAACCGTTTTTTATATAACCCCTATAAAAGCGTACGCGTGGGTAGAGTAAAAAGGACCAACTGAACCTTTACGCATTTGTGCAAGAGATGAATTAAATAAAATATTGTTTCAACGCTGCTGAAGATTATTTCTGACAAAATACCAAATCAAGATTACATACAGAGTTATCTCTGTAAAATGTGTTCCCAAATAATTTATATTTGGCTTTGGTTGAATTAAGTAGCTATTATTTCGTAAAAATCTCTTTGAAATTAAAAATAGCATACTTTTTGCTTTCTGGCCGTCCCATTTTTCCCCGCCTACGGAGTGAAAAAGACCAGGTAATATTTTTCTTAATAAATTAAAAAAAAAATTAAAGAATTAGCTTGGAGTTTTACTGAACATAGATAGTTGTTGATTTCATACGTACTATTTGTTGTGATATAATTGGTATTGTTTTTACAATGTAATTGCTCAAAATCAAATTGATCCTATGTTTTCCGCCCAACCCTACTATCATACTATAACATATGATTGAATCTAAACAAGTAGTTTTTTATATAATTTCATTCGTAAACCCTTTGTTATGGCAATAAACTTTTCAAACTTCAATAATAAATGAAATAAAACGAAAACACGCTTCTATAATAATATATTCGATATCTATAAAGTTATAAAAAAGTTATATAAAACTACTATTGAATTTATTTCCAAATCTATTGTGTGAATTCCAAATGTCATCCTTTTGCAATTTCGTGTCGGGGGCGTAAAAAGCTTTGTCAATGGAATGCTTTGTGAATGAAACTTTTATTTGAGGCACAATAGTAGAATTTCTTTTAACTTTTTTTAAAATATTTTGTTAACATGTTAAACATATTACATAATGTCAGATTATGAGGGAATATATATATATATATATATATATATATATATATATATATATATATAAAGAAAAACTGGGTAATCATAAGTTGCTATATTTAAATTGTTTGATATGTTAAAAAATAATGTATATATTAACCAAAATTTACCAAATGTATATCAAATAAATCAAATAAGGTACTTTAAAATTACTCCTTCTTCTATCAAAAGGTAATAAATCAATTATCAATAGAGAGTGAATCTCATGCAGTTGGAAATTCTATACAGAATTCTAAATTTCAAAGCTCTTACATTAATTCAAGTCTAATTTTACCACAGAATATTTCATACGAATTTTTCTTTATTCTTTTGATATAAAACTACACATATTCAGAGAGACCATAAATTCTCTGGCGTTTTTACTAAAAATCTGTTTGTGAGATCAACTTCACTATCAAGCACAATAATTTATGTTTAAATACACTTATCTATTTTTCCTCTCTGCTTTTCAACGTGGCTTTGGTAAAAAATGTGCTCGAGGCGACCTTTCCATGCCGCACCGGGCGATGAATTCATATTGTAAAAAAGTGTTTTCATATTGCAATCATATCACAGACGGAATCCAGAGAAAACGGGACCTTTGTGGTGTTATCGCCTAGGTTATTGGTCGACCATTTCCGTGGGCACTTTGCCCGAATTGCTTCATCGGCGGGAGAAAGATTATATATATATATATATATATATATATATATATATATATTGAGGTGGTCCTTAATATGGGTATTTTTTAATTTGTTTGCTCCCAAGGGCTCAAATGGTTCCAAATTGATAAAAGAAAACAATTCTCTGAAAGTTTTAGCTCTTAATATTGTCTTTTAGATAGAGCGTAATTCAATCAAACTTCTTATGCAAATAGCATGGAAAAAATTTGAAAATTAAAAAATTTTTTTTAGGTATAACTTAGCGACAAATAAATTAACCGTGAAAATTATCGTAATTTATTTATTAAAATATCTTCGGTAATATTTTTTTTTCATCATCAACTTCGATTTTAGTTATATAAAAAAGATTCACTATTTTCAATAAAATTTTAAAATGCATGTTTATCGTTGCTTACCATTTACCAATATCAAAGATCAATTACCAGTTATTATGAAAACAATTGTAGCTTATATTAATGAAAATTTCTAAAAAAAGCATTAGTTATAGTTAAATATTATGTCTATGTTTGCATAAAAAGTTCAACGTATTTAATATATATATATATATATATATATATAAATATATATATATATATATATATATATATATATATATATATACGAGGTGTGTTCAAAAAGTACCCGGAATTACTAATAATTAAATTTCGCGGGTCTGGAGTGTCTGATTGTCAAAATTTTTTTTTTATTGTGTGGTTATACATGCCCCTAAAGTATGATGAAATTTTCAGCTATATTCACTGTTTACTTTGTCTGTGGTAGTCGCTAAGGTTCGACGTGTTTTTCTGAGCTCGGCGATTTTTACAATGGAAGAATTGAAAAGTCAGTGTTGCAAAGTGCAAAAATTCACCAGATATGGCTCCGTGTGACTTTTTCCTATTCCCAAAGTTGAAGAGACCCATGAAAGGACGGCGGTTTTCCTCGATTGAAGAAAATCGCTGAGAGTGCTCAAGGACATATCAAAAAGTGAATATCAAGGGTGCTTCGAAATTGGAAAAAACGCTGGCATAAGTGTATTATATCTGGGGGGGACTACTTTGAAGGGGACCACATTAATGTAGACGAAAAATAAATATTTTTTGAAAAACGAAAATTCCGGGTACTTTTTGAACAGACCTCGTATATATATATATATATATATATATATATGATATATACTATATATATATATACATATATCTATATACAGATTATTATACTTAACTATTTGCATGAGAGAGTATATGGAAATTTGATGACCGTATATAATTCAATAATTCATTCAATTACACTGACAAATCTTAATAGAAATACTCAATGATAATAAAAATATCGGCTTGGGAATTAATATTGGAAATATAATTTTGGCATTAATATAACAAAATCGGAAAACATTATTTCAATATCGGAACGAAATTATTATTTTAATACAAATCAATGATAATGGAAAATATCGTCTTAGAAATTAATATTGGGAATATAATATAATTTTAATAAAAATACTCAATGATAATAAAAAAATATCGGCTTTGGAAATTAATATCGGAAATATGATAATAATTTTAATAAAAAATAGTACATAAAACAATCATAGTTTTGAACTATGCACTTATGATCTTTTATCCGAATACGTATAAGAATTTAATTTTTACTTCAATTAGCAACTTACCATTGCTTAGTATTATTTATTTAAGTATATTTGGTTATTAATGAATGACGGTCTCTTGTAGACTCGGATAAATTCTGCTAGGATTTTTAATTGACGTTATGCCTGAAAAAGATTATATATATGTATATATTATATATATATATATATATATATATTTACATTAATACATAAAAAAAATTTTTGGATCTGTGAAATCCGGTCAGGCACGAATGATATCACCACCATACTCGACTAAATTTCATCAACATCACTAAGAGAGTTCTATAAATTATTTATTCTGTAATTATTCATAAATTCATGAGTGTTTATCTATCTGCATACTATACATATACATATTCGTTCAGTGATAATTGAATAATCGCAAATCCACCTAAACCTTATTAAATTATACACGAGGTCTCTGGATTAATCCTTTGCTTCAGAACATGTGCTCAAGTACTCATACCCAATGATGAAAACAGAAAGTAAATTTTAACATAAAGAAATTATTTAAATATCTTATTTGATATGCTTAAATTATCTGCAATATTTAGTGAATAAAGCTAATTTTTTATCATGTATAATTAGATGATTTTAATTTTATCAAAGAATAATAATCTACTGAATATATTGCGACAGATGTTATAACAGTTTTTATTATTTGCATGATAAACCTTTGCGTGTAGTCTTTTTCATATAAATTACCCAAAAGCATAGGATAAAAAAGATTGGTATCCAGGTTAGATCATATCTAATCTGAGCATCTAAGATGCGATGAATAAGTTATGAGTTTTGACTAAATATTATTATCAAACTTGCATACACATAATATTCATACCTGTCGTTAAATAAAAAGATATTTTTTCCACAATTTCACTCATCATGTATTAATTGTGTTTGAAGAACTTCATGTAATTAAAATTAACATACTTTCATTGATTGGTTGTATTTTTTTTTACTTTTTCGCTGGCGGCATAATCTCATTCTTTGAGCAGCTGTAGTATCTAGCAAGAGCCTATAAAAATATTTTCCACATTAGTAATAACCTCAAAGATATATAGAAACCTCGAAAACCTCAAATAATACACGGCACAGATTTTTCATTTACTTTATTATTTGCACTATATTTTATTATTTATCGGGAACGGGATAATATATTTTTTCCATTCAGACATTTTAATTAACTCAAGATTTGTACTACTATTTAACCTTAAAATGTAATCACATAAAACATCGAAAAATAAACAATATGCTTCACGCTTTCGGTGACGTATGTAAAATTTAATTTTATGTATGTACATTTAAAAACACATTACATTTTTTGACACCTTATGTCGTTCAGGTATTTTTGAAATAATCCACTCTAATTATATCAACTCTTTATATATTCCAATATGGTCATCTTTACAATATTAGAAAAAATATAGAATTTACCAATGATTACAACTGTAATAATTTATATTTATCCTTTTAAAACGATTATGTTGAGGTTTCTATATTTTGTGTTTCAGCAAATGGAAGCAAATAGTAGTTCGGCATCGCGGTATTGGCGTGAGTTAGGCGCAGCATGGAACCGCAGCGCAGTCGGTGTCACAGGCGGAGCGGCCGGACAATGGGGAAAGCCCTTCCTGGATTGCGGGCCGCTGCCTGGACGATGGCTTTTGCCGTACTCGGTGGCAGCGGCAACAAGACAATACAAGTATGTTGATATTTTAGTATTTTTGTATCAGTTATGTGTTGTGTTGTTAAATTATATTAGTTTTTTGAGTCATTTAAATTTACACAGCTAATCGAAAATGATGCGCATGTATAAAATACTATCATTGCTTTTTTGTGTTTTCATCTAAATATAAATTCTGTATCATATATACTGTATCGTAGTCATATACGTCGCCTGATGCAAAATCTCACAATAAAAACATTATAAGTATTTAATCTCTAATCAACTTTTTTTTATTTTTTCATCTAAACAACAACTGCCTGAAAAGGCATTCAGTAATTGCAGTGATTAGTTAATAAATAAAATTTTGAAATACTTCAAGTTGGTATAATAAATATAAATATGTGACAATAATTGCAAGCAAATAATAAATATAAATATGTGAGAATAATTACAAGCACTATACTAAATATATAACTACACCAAGTCTAATGGATCTAATCTTCTTAGTCTCTTGACAGTCTCTAATCAATATACGATTTATTATTATTATTTATTATTTATGTAAACAAATTAACATATAAGTACAAAAATACATTTATTAATATCTTTAATACTGCACTTAAAATACCTTTAATATTCAATAATTACAAGCACTATACTAAATATATAACTATACTAAGTCTAATGGATCTAATCTTCTTAGTTTCTTGACAGTCTCTAATCAATATACCATTTATTATTATTATTTATTATTTATGTAAACAAATTAACATATAAGCACAAAAATACATTTATTAATATCTTTAATATTGCCCTTTAAAATACCTTTAATATTCAATAATTACAAGCACTATACTAAATATATACTATACTAAGTCTAATGGATCTAATCTTCTTAGTCTCTTGACAGTCTCTAATCAATATACCATTTATTATTATTATTTATGTAAACAAATTAACATATAAGCACAAAAATACATTTATTAATATCTTTAATATTGCCCAGTTCTCATTATAGTTTTATTCTACATTTTTACATTCAATAGTTTTTTCCTTAATATTTAGAATAAATAGCAAGGCAACAGTTAAATAATTTATAGAATTGTATCATTTAAATATATATTCAATCACATTTTTTTAAATATTCATTGTTAACTTCTTGTAGGATAAGTTATTGTGATCACAAAGAATCGAAAATGAAAACTTATGCATATCTTTATGTTTAAAGTGTTTCTGAACATTTTGGCATACCTTAGAAAAAATGTACGTGTGTGTATGTGTATGTATGTATGTTTGGTTACAGTTTCGTACGACATCCAGATTTTTGTACGATAATCCGATATTCGTACAATATTCCAATATTCGTACGATATTTCGATGTTCTTACGATATTCGTACGATAAGTTTATCTGTCAGACAGCGACACGGCGCTTACGCGCTTCCATATTTTGACTCTAAAACAGGAACACAGCGCGATTGCTCTGAAAAAAGTTCTTTTTTTTAAATTTCAAAATATATAAAAAATATTCAAAAAAGTCTTTTTTTCAAATTTCAAACATGTAATTTTTTCAAAGTTTTTTAAAAATTCAATTTTTGATATGGGAAGTTCTAGCAATTTGTTCTACGGCACGGAACACAGCGCGATTGCTCTGAAAAAAGTTCTTTTTTTTTTTAAATTTCAAAATATATAAAAAATATTCAAAAAGTCTTTTTTTCAAATTTCAAACATGTAATTTTTCAAAGTTTTTTAAAAATTCAATTTTTGATATGGGAAGTTCTAGCAATTTGTTCTACGGCACGTTGCCATACACCGCTAGTTGCATTCTATTATTAAAATCAGAAAAAAAATCGAATCAATATCATATACATTTAAAATAAAACATATAAATTGATTTATTTAGTTCTTACTTATATTATTTAAATGTAGTTTTGCTGATTACTCTAAAAAAATAATATTAATATAAATAATTATCTGAAGTTATATATAAGTAACATTATAATTAACTAAAAAATAAACAAATAAATCGAATAATTAAATTATAAAATCAACGGAAATAAATAGTTTAAAATGTTGAATGAAAAACTGTTAAATATGAATCAATGTCGGAATAAAACAATTGTAACAAATGATAAAATAAGTAAAATAAATAAAATATTCGAAATAAACTCAATAATATGAAAAATAATTAAAAATATTATAATAAACCTGTAATTAAATTAACAGGTGAAAAATATATTAAAACAAATTCAAAAAATTTTTTAATTAAACTTGATTCAGAATTATAAGACTATGAAAATACATGAGTAAATTGAAAATAATTTTCACTGAATAATTTGCTTTCATAAACAGATTCAAAACAATGACGAAACTTTTAAAATTTAAAAGAATGGTTATATGTTCATTACTATTTGTTATTCATAATACTAAATTTTATTATTGACTGTAAATTATGTATAGAGTCCTGAACTACTATAATTAATATCTATAACCAGAATTGTTTATTTGATCGCACATGCAAATAGATGTGTCAAATTATAATTTCAATGATAATATTCGTTAATGATTTCGATGTCGATAGTCAAATTATAGATTGTCTAATATTTTTTTATCCAGTATTTATATATGTTATACGATTTTTCATTTACGTTATAAAGTTACCGCTTCATCTTAAATTATTCTAGTTCATATCGAGAAGTAATGGAATGAAAAACGTTTGATCTGATATTAACGCGGTGCCAATAATATTTTATTATTGGCCGTGAACAGATGTCTTGAATTCTCTCTTATTATTTTCAAATATCGAGAAATGTTATGTCGCAATAAAAAGAATAAATTGTGAAAGACGTTTGCAAATAAATATTGAAAGTACTTATCTTTGATCTATTCCCCTCACGTTCATAATCGTTGAGAGCAAATATTTGCATTACAAAATCAATATATGGATATTCGAAATCTTTTATCTGTCTATCTATGTTAGACAGAAAGCAATCTGCTACTACAAATATACTCATAATATAGAATTTGTCAATTTTAAATAAAAAATAAATCTAGAAAATTATAATACATCATTTGATTTGCTTCTATTTTTATTTTATATTAGATGATATCACTGCCTTTTCAATTTTAGTTAGCATTTTTTGATAGTATTTACCAACATATTTATTTGTCATCATAGTAGATATATTAGAAAAAATATATTTATAGAACAAAATCCTAAAGCAAATACTCAATTATTTAAAAAAATTAAAACTTTACTGGTTCTTCAGTATTAGTTTAAAATACATATTTAGATTTGGAGTAACTTTTTTAAAATATAAAGTAATCTATTTTATTTTTATAGTACATATTAGTATTTTATTGAGTAGTAGTATAAACATATCAAAATTTCAACATTTTAAAGCAAATTCACAAATTATATTAAATTCTAAAACTTTACTTGCTCATCATATCAGTTTAAAATACAAATGTATAACTGGAGTACTTTTTTAATAAATTGTAAATATCTTGAAATTTTGAAGCAAACTTATAAGTTTTAGTATTACTTAGAACTTGGAGGTACTAAATATAAATAATAATAATCAAAAAGCCCTTTTTATCATTTTTATAAAATTATTACATATATAGACGTGTGTGTACGTTTATATATGTGTTACAATTTAAATTCTATTTTTTATTATTTAAATTGGTATATTTTTTACCGGATTATTTTGATGTAAATCTAGAGATTTAAACCCGTTTTTAGCTCCATAGCTCAAAACATTGTATATTTTATATTTTTATTGTGGGATTATAATTTAATTAAAATTCAGATAAAGTTAATTTACACGCATTAAAACTACTCAAAATATTCATTCTACATGTCACATAATATTATTCTGCATGTGCATAAAATTTGCATAGAAATTAATTCATTTCATATGTTTGCAACTCGTCCATAATCTGCTTTTTTAGTAGTGTATGCTTCAATTTATATTTAAATATAACTAATTCATTTTGTTTAATATGCATATATACTGTCGAAAGCGATTTAAAATTCGCAATTTATTTCGTTAAATTTACTCCGAGATAATCTAATCTTTTTATTCGCTTTCCGTGCAAAAAAATCAGGAACCCTCTTGTAGCGTCAATATAAATTAGGAACGATTCAATTAGACTCGATATCATGCTGAATTCTGTCAATCATTTTGCATTTAATAAATAAAATCAGTCAACGTCGTTGTTAAGTACGTCAATTCGGAATAAAAATAGCTGCAATATTAAATATAAATTAGTTTTGATTGATTTATTAGCTAAGATGCACCTGAATTATAATGCTTGTTGAAATATTTTATTAATTGATCAATGTCTATGTTTTAAAATATTGCATCATAATTTAATATAAAATTAAAATATTTATTTCGATTCATTTTATTTCAGCTATGAAAAAATCGAAAAAGATCCAAATCAAAACATTCCGCGTAATATAAATGTTGAACATAACTATGATAGGCTCATATAGCAAATATAATTGGATGAATAAGTTTTTTTTAATTGCAGTCTTAAGAAAATACTGCAAAACTGATTTGATTATTTAAATTCAATGAATGTAAATTTAGCAAATTTAAACATAGTAATCGTCTAATTTTTTAAACTATCAAAAAATGTAGGGCATAATAAAAAATTAATTCAATAAGGCAATCAAAATATTTATATTTTTTATGTGCAAAAAAAACTGTATATATAGTGCGTATTTATTTTCTGAATAAATACGATCCTTTCATCTGCAATAATAGTCATGTACAAATAGTGATCAAAGCATATGCTATTTTAATTAAAACATCAAAAAAACCGCATGAAAATGTAAAAAAATCATTAATGTTTAAATTATATACGCTGTTTTCTACTTTTAGTAAAAAACTTAATCTATTTAGATATATACATACAAAAACAATGCACTCATAAAAACACCCACAAAATATATATATAATATATATATATATATATATAAAATATATATATAATATCTATTAGATATATATATATAGATATATATAAAGGGTGTTCCAGAAAATCAACGTAACAGGGTGATGGTGATGATCACAAACTTTAAAGACAAAAGTGAAAAAAAAAACTTGTCTCACGTTACTTAGAAATTTTGGAAATTTCAAGTGCAACCTAAAGCTTGGCGATCATATGACTTTTTGGACACCTGTATATATACATATATCATATGACTTTTTTTGACACCTGTATATATACATATATAAATATTCACATGTTTATATATATATATATATATATATATATATATACATGATTGATTTCTTAGAGGGCGTAACAGCAAGTAAAAAAATAATTAAAGTAAATATTTGTATAACATCTTCATTGTTCCATGAGTTTCGTCGTAAAATTCTACGTCATCATCAGTGATTTTGAACTTCTTTGCTTGTATGTAACTAATAATAGGAATAAACAACTGTCAATGTTTAGTATTTTATAAAATAATTTACAGAAACGAAATAGAAATTCTGAAAAGTTAAAAGTACCTCGGATGATCGACAACTCTCTTCATTCCTTTTCTACAAAATATTTTATAAAAAGTGAAAATTTCTGAGAAATCAAAATGGCCTCTGGTGATTCCAACGCATTTTTTTCTAAAAATATTGTATGAAAAGTGACCACTGACACTTTATTTCAATTCAATGCTTTATTCCAATTATTAATTACTCACATGTTGAGTGTCTAAGAAGTTGTGAGTCCAAGAAGTTCAAAACCTCTTATTATGACATAGAATTTACGTCGAAACTTATGGAAAAATAAAGATGTTCTTAACGCGATACATCAAGCAAAGAAAAAACAGAGATTAAAAATAATCTTTAATTCCAAACGTTTCGACATACAATAAATGTCATCAGTTGATCTCTAAGGTAAAAAATGAAAAAATTATATAAACTAGGTAACTATAAGAATTATAATTTAGTATATCTAGATGAGAACAACTTAATTTTTATTATTTGGTTTCTCTTTTTAATTTGATAAGTATTGTTTTATTATTTCTTAGTTTTCTATTTCTATAATTCCTTTAGTTACCCAGTCAATATATTTTTTTCAATTTTTTACCTTATAGATCCACTGATGATGACATCAAATTGTATGTAGAAACGTTTGGAATTAAAATTATTTATAATCGTTTTTGATATATCTATATATAATATATATATATATATATATATATATATATATATGTGTGTGTGTGTGTGTGTATAAATGTGTGTATATGTATGTTTGGATGTATATTCATATATACAAATGTGATTATTCCAGAGCAGTGGCTGGTATATTCGTATCGGCGGATCTGGATCAATGTGATTACGCTGTAGCCGATATGTTCGGCGGTGCTCATAAATGCCATCAAGAAACTACGGAGGTTAGTGATCGAATTTTTATTATTATATTGATTTCGAAGTGTTTTCTGATTGAACTCAACAAATCTAGAGTAACGGTAATTTCATAAAAAGTTGAATTTGTTCCGTATTTGTAGTAAAACAATCATATATGTATAACATTCTTATATACAGTAGAAACTTGTTTATCCGGCGCTCAGTTATACGGATTTGCTATTATCCGGACCGCGACCAATCTTTATGTATCTATATTCCTACAATTATATTTTATACCTTTAATTATCCGCATTTTCGATTCTCCAAATGCCTATCGACAACAATTAGTCCGGTTAATCGAGTTTGTACTGTAATTATATGTGTACATAGATAAATACAAAAAAGCTTTTAAAATGGAAAAAATATGTTTAGCTTTTAATCAATCCACACAATAGAAAGAAACTAAATTATGGGGCCGTTACTCTCGTGAAATAGACCAATGTTATGACAAATCTATCTTACGTAGCTTTTCTCATATAAAATGGTACTAAAAACTGTCAAGATGCTATATATATTTATATTTGTATATATATATATATATATATATATACATATAAAATGCAATTTCAATAATATTATATCATGACGCAGCAGAAAGATGCAGTTGTGATAGAATTCTATCTTAGCGTTTGTCCGTTTTCTAGGATAGGATTTTTGTCTAAAAAGCCTGACTGCATAGCAACCATATACCATTTTGACAGTTTTTAGTACCATTTTATATGAGAAACGCTACGTAACATAGCCTTGCCATACCTTGGTATAATCTGCATCAGAATCGCCCTCTATATTTTTAAGCAGAAATTTAATAGACTTCTACACGTTTCGAATCTCAGTTTGACCTTTTTTCTGTGGATAAATGACTCATATTATTTGAAAAATTGGAACCAACATTCAATAAATATTGTTTGTGAGTAGCAATATAGATGTTGAATTTGCAAAATTGCATTAAAAACAATACATATTTCACGACCATCCTAAACAAATGTTCGAGATTTACCTGACTACAGAAGAAGTATGATATTGGCTCTCAATAGGTAGGAATCAATTAAACTATTTTAGAAACATAATTTAGTTTTCTTTCTCTTTTCTGGATGGAAGCCAGTTTTGAGTATTTGTATGTTTTTAATTATACCTACCTTTCACTATTTGAAAAATCCCCATCAAATATAATATATATATATATATATAAATATGTTAAAGTAGTTAATTTTGATGTTGAGAAATATGAGTAAGTTCTTCAAGGGCATACATCAAATAAAAGGCAAAGATTTAGAATATAAATATATATATATATATTATATATATATATATCGTATTTCTTATTCAATATAGGCTTAATTAAGAATTTTACGCATTCATTATTAATTGCCGAGGCATTTTTTCTCAAATTTTTTATTCGTGTTTTTTTCTGAGTTATGTTCAAAATCATACAAAGTTTTCAGACAGATGAATCCATATCTTGTAAATGATTGGCTCTTATGAATATAACTCCGTCAATTATTTCACAAAATGTTCTTTTTACAGTACTTATAATGAGTGTTTTTAACATTCATAATTGGACGAATGTTTTTTCTGATTTTCCCAAGATGGTTTTTATAATACCTATCTCTTTTGGAGTTATTCATTTTTGTCTTAAAATGTTTTAGAATTTGAAAATAATTGCTTATTATTTAAATATATTCTAATTATATATGAATTAAAATCATGAATAGTTATATTCATGAATAATACTTGAGCTCGAAATATCTTATGAAAATGCTGCCAAAATGCTGCCAGCGGTTTTCATGTTATCACAGTATGTGGTCGCGTGCTTGTATAATATAACCTCGTTACAGATGTATATAGACTTAATTGAGATTTACATAAAATTATACTGTGACGGCGACATTCCGGCTATTTGTTCATGAATTAATTAATTTTAGCACAAAACGCTGAATTAAGCTTTCAACTAAAACATTCCATGCGAGACGAACTCCAGAATTAAAATCACCCGCGTCTGTTTTTGTTCAATTGTGGTGGAAATATTTTCGCGGAAAAGCTAATTAAATGTCTTTTTTATTTTTGGATTAAATGAAAACTTTTTTAGAAATTTTAAACTATGGTCACTCTAACAAGCCATGTAATTTCAACAACGTACTATTTCACATTTATAACAGATGCTCGCAGATATTAATAAACCATTCCAAGCTTTGTTCTTCTTTTTGAATTACAATATGTTTATTAATATAAGCTTACATTTAGTAATTATTTGGCTTATTTAGCAGACGGATGTTAGAAGCAACTTAGCAGTTGTCTTTTTCAGTTCTGATATTTTTATAACACACTTAATTAGTATTTTTGACTCAATTAGTACTGCCAGTGCTATTTTAACTGGATATCATAATTATAATAATTAACATAATTTAAATCAATTTCTGATATCACTAATGCTTGATATCAATTGTATCAAATAGTTTCTCAAACCAAGTCATTACTATAGATTCACATCCAACTCATTGAATATTCAAGCAGCAAAAAATGTGATTTCTAACTTAGACAATTTTTTATATCCCTGCTTTAATTTTTGATTGAACATAGATACAGATTTGGTCGTAGTAAAATATTTTGTTAGCTTTCTGGTCAAATATATTTTGATAAAGTGATTTAGTAGTGTAGGGCACAAAGGTCCAATTTGACTTTCAGTAATTAAACTAAATGCGAACTACAATTCAAACTAGTTGGTTTGGTATTTAGCCTTGAGGCAAATTACATGAACTTCCCGATATGTGTAAATAATCGACTTGATCAAAAAAATGTGTAAATAATATACTTCATCAATCCTACTTTAAAAAAAACGATAATAATTTTAGCAAAATTTGACGAATTTTTAAAATTAAACTACTTGTTGTAAGGCCGTAATATTACAGTAAGTTCTATAACACCATGATGTATATCGCCAAAAAAAGTTCCATGAAAGAAGGATTAAATTTTTTTTTTCAACAGTTAATTACAAGAAAACGGCTCGGTAGATTTTCACCTAAAATTAATCAGTATCATTCCCAAATGATATCTTTCGAACAGTTTTTGATTTCAAAATCGGTTCGGTAGGATGAGCTTAAAATCATCCCAAATGATATCTTTCGAACAGTTTTTGATTTTTCAAAATCGGTCGGTAGGATGAGCTTAATGTGGGACGAAAATTTAACACTTTTTTTCAACAGTTAATTACAAGAAAACGGCTCGGTAGATTTTCACATAAAATTAATCAGCATCATTCCCAACTAATATCTTTCGAACAGTTTTTGATTTTTTAAAATCGGTTCGGTAGGATGAGCTTAAATGTGGACGAAAGTTTAACACTTTTTTTCAACAGTTAATTACAAGAAAACGGCTCGGTAGATTTTCACTAAAATTAATCAGCATCATTCCCAACTAATATCTTTCGAACAGTTTTTGATTTTTTAAAATCGGTTCGGTAGGAAGCTTAAATGTGGACGAAATTTAACACTTTTTTTCAACAGTTAATTACAAGAAAACGGCTCGGTAGATTTTCACCTAAAATTAATCAGTATCATTCCCAAATGAATACTTTCGAACAGTTTTTGATTTTTCAAAATCGGTTCGGTAGGATGAGCTTAAATGTGGACGAAAATTTAACACTTTTTTTCAACAGTTAATTACAAGAAAACGGCTCGGTAGATTTTCACCTAAAATTAATCAGTATCATTCCCAATGATATCTTTCGAACAGTTTTTGATTTTTCAAAATCGGTTCGGTAGGATGAGCTTAAATGTGGACAAAAAGTTTTTTCGAATTACAAAGAAATGGCTTGGCAGATCGTTGCACAAAACTGACAAACGATAGTCCTCACCGAAATACATCAAATGGCTTTTAATTTCTAAAATCGGTTCAGGCGTTTTTGAGAAAACGTCGATCAAAATCTAATTTTGACAAATGCCAAAAAGACCATACTGATTTTTGCAAACTTTGACTAATTTTTAAAGCTGAACCAGTTGTCGTAGGGCCGTAATATTTTAGTATGACCTAGAAAACTATGGTATCTTTCGTCAAAAAATAATCATAAAAATCGTCAAATTTTTTTTTTAAAAACTTTATTACAAGAAAACGGCCCGGCCGATCTTAACCAAAAACTAATCAGCACGATTCCCAACCAATATCTATCGAACGGTTTTTGAATTTTCAGAATCGATTCAGAATTGCGGGCTAAAACGTGGACGAAAAATTTTTCACTTTTCTGCAATTTACAAAGAAACGGCTTGGCCGATCGCCGCACAAAACTCAGAGACGATTGTCCTCATCGAGATACATCAATGGCTTTTAAATTTTTGAAATCGGTCCAACCGTTTTGGAGAAACGTCGATTTACGGCAAAAATCTGTTCACACACACACACACACACATACACACACACCACACACACACACATACTTTTCCAAATTTGGTCTCATTCGATTCAGAATGGCTCGAAACGTCGAGAAAACATAAAATTAGCGATTCGGATTTTTTGATGAAAACATAACTTCTCCTTCGGGAAGTTAACAAAGCTTGAAACGTATCAAACTATATTCAGTAAAATTTTCAGCTAATGCTCATTATAGAAATCTGTATTTTTTGCAATTTTTTCTGAAAATTGTCATCTGTCCCTTTTTTAACCCATAGACAGGGTAAAAAGAGACAGCCAGGGGTAAAAGGAACCTAGTCTTACTTTAAATTTTGAAGGAATTTCATGAAAAAATAGCTTTATAATTTAACTAATGCTAAATACTAATTTCATGGATACATTTTTACAGGTATAACACTGTATATAACCTTAATCTAGTATTTTGTCAGAAATATTTATCAGCAGATTTGGGATAACTATTTATTTAACCCTCCGTCGGTCGGATATTTTTTCACCTTCGAACGGTCGGAAAGGTCTGGCTGGACCAACATTCATTTTACATGCATTTATATGGGATAAATGAGTTTTTGGTTTTTATGTATTAACG